GACATCCCATTTTCCCCACACAAGTCGAGAGATGCTGAAATATTTGCCTTCCTAGCATTTTATTAAGATGGATCATTTCTTTTAAGACAGATGATTTTTTTTTAATTGTCATTGTCAGTATGCCCTTTCTTCAGTGGGGCCTGGTGTGACATTGAGAACCCATTAGTCCCACTTTCTCCTTTGCCCTTACCTTATTAATCTCAGGTTTAGGTATGTCGGGAAAAGTCAATGATTTTTCACTTTTTTAAACCCACGCTGCCTTCTGTGCATTTTCACTGTCTTTCTTGCATTTTCCCGCCAGCCAAAATCATTTGTTCCAACATTATACACAGAAAAGTGTACGAATCCTAAATCTGATACCTAACACTCTTAAGCATCAAGAAATGTACTAGTTCAAAGTGCTATCTTTTCACAAAAATTTATTGAGGCCTTGTCACGATGGGGCCTTGTTCTAGGTTCTAGCAGGGACGACAGGTGTGTGAAAACAAGGTCCCTGATTTCCTGGAGTTTATATTCTAGTCTGGGTGTCTGTGGGGGTGGGAACAAACCCACGTGAGGTAGTGATGACTGCTGAGAAAGACACAGAGTAGGGTAAGGTGACTAGGAGTGAGAAAGGGTCAGAGTGGCAGCTATTCTAAATAAAGTGACTTCTGAGCAGAGATCTGAAGTGAAGAAAGGAGAATGTTTGGGGAACCTCGTTTCTGGTGGTAGAAAGGACAAGTTGGTCCCTGTGGCAGAAGGAGAGACATGGCAGGACCTAAAGATTGTTACAGGACCACTGTGGCTCCTGCGTGGGGAGAAGGCCACCTGGGAGCAGGGCAGTAGCAGGGAGACCCTCACCAAGAGGCTCCTGTGCACTGACCTCAGGAGAGAAGTGTTGGAGAGCAGGAGTGGCTGAATCCAGGCCACACATCAAAGCTAGAGAGGACAGGACCTGCTGCTGCGTGAAAGAAGTCAAGGATCACTCCAAGGTCTCTGGGTTGACCGGCTGTCTGTAGGGATGACCTTGCCCTTTGTTGAGAGGGGGAACACTGGGCGGGAAGCAGGTAGAGGGTAGAAAGCAGGAGCCTGCTATTAGGCACGTTCAGTCAGAAGTGCCCACTAGACATCCGGGGGAAGAGGCCAAAGAGGCAACTGAGAAGACAAAGCTGGAGGCTGGGGAAGGGGTCTGGGCTGGAGAGATAAAGCCAGAGGACTGAACAGGGGCTCCCAGGGAGAGGGGGTAGAGAACAAGAGACCCAGAGGAGATGAGCAAATCCAAGAAGGGGAGAACCAGCAAAGGATCTGAGAAGAAGCACCCAGCAGAGGAGAGGAACCCAGAAGCCGAAGATGAGGAGTGATCTGTCAGCCAAACGCTGCCAACAGGTTACAGGTGCCGAGGGCTGGAGGCAGTGAGGTCACTGGTGACCTTGACAAGAGACGAGAGGCCAAGGGTTCTTTTGAGGGGGGTGGGGTGGGGGAGGGGGAGCCTGACCATAGCGGCTTTGGGAGAGGATGGGTGGAAGGAAGCAGAAAGAGCTCAGAGTTAACTGTGTCACTGAGACTTGCTGTAAACTGAAGCACAGAAAAGGGCGGTAGCTGGAGGGAAATGTGGGCACCGAGAGGGTTTTGCTTTTGCTTTTGCTTTCAGATGAGAGATATTACAGCGTGTCTGGGTGCTGATGAGAATAAAATAAGCCTGCAGAGAGGGGAAACTGAGAGTGTAGGAAAAGAGGCGACCTGGCTTATTAACAACTGCAGTATTTCTGGGTTGTTCAGAAGGAAGGTAAGCATTCCTCGGGGATGACGCGGATGACTGGCTGGCTGGCTCACCTGTGGGCATGGGCTCGCTCGGGGCCTCGCCCGAGGCCTTGTCATCACTGTCACTCTCACCCAGGGCGGTGGTCCTTCCTTTCCATTCATTTTTAGGGAGCAGTTCGACAACTACCACGTCTCCGTGAATCGAGCGGTTTCGAGCCTTCATCCCATGGATCAGGATGTCACTGATCAAATCTGTGTTTGGGGCAGCACAGGGAAACCCCAAAGACGGGGGGGGGGAGGTCATATCAGCGAGGCACTGCAAACATGCTATTTCTGAGATCGAATCAGCATTCCTACAAGTAAAAGCCTCCTCCCTCCAAAGGCGAAGTCTAACTTCTCTGTTCCGCTGGTGAGGAAGGGAAGAAACACTGCCTCCACATTACGTGGTATAATGTGCTTTCCTAAGGTCACCCTCGGTCATCTTTTAAGGCAGGTAACAGTTTCCTGCCTGAGACAATGTCGGCCTCTGCTGGGATGCTGTTCCACACCTTCAGGAGGCAGGAGTGGTCAGCAGGCTGCCGAACCGCAGAGACTGCAGGCCAGTCGGGGCTGACACTGAGGACCAAAGGCCCAGAGAAAGCCTTCAGCCTCACCAGGCTCCCTTGACTGTCAGGGTCCCTTTTAAAATGGTTCCAATAAAGCAATATTGCTCACTAAGGCAGCAGAGGGCAGTGTCTTAAAATCCCGGCCAGCCTGCCCGGGCGGCGGGTTCAGCCCCACCGTTTACCAGCTGTGTGATCCCGGAAAAGTCACTCTGCTTCTCTTAGCTTCCTCACATGAAGAAGGTGGTAAACTAGAATAACACCCACATTAAGTGCTTACAACAATACTTGATGTCCAAATGAAATATTCGTTATTATCATTTTTTAGAGTTTATTACCATAAAATCAGAAATTACAGACAAAAAGCTAGCAGGCCAAAACCAACCCACGATCCCACACACCCAGTGTGCGTGGGGATGTCGGACTTGGTGTGTTACCTTGTGACAATTTCAGCTTCGCTTTCTTCCCTGTGGAAGAGCAGAATAAAAAAGCAGTGTGGAAATTTATGTAAGATTTATACTGAACCTGAATCTTTACTGCTGGCTCCTTGAAGTCGAACAAAAGCTTCTGTTTGTGCTCTGTGTTTGTTGACATTCAGAATTCCCTAAAATCATAATAAGAATCAATGTGAGAAATTTCTTTTCTGCCTCCTCTTTTTTTAATTGAAGTATAGCTGATTTACGATTTTCTGCCTGCTTTAACCTCCAAAAGGCACAGTTTAAAACCTTTATGAAAACATGCCCATAATATTCTTATAAGGCTGTGATCCTTTTCTTTAGGAATAACAACAACAATAATAATAATAATTCATCACCAAGGTTTTTTTCTCCAGAGAACAGACCATCATTTTGTG